TCTTACTATATGAATATGTATGCTCATTACTATTAAACGTACTACAACTTGGTTCGTCGTCATCAATGGTAACCACATCGTCGTCGTCATCCTAAAATATATCATATACATATATGAATTTATACTATATAATTATCCAAATCTATTTATACTATCCAGTTACATTGCAATGATATTTTTACTTGCAAAATTTTAAAAAGTCAACGTACCAATCACCTGTGATGCTTGCGATAAATAGTAATGTAATTAGAGTCATTAACACTTACCGCTGTACTAAGCGTACTGTCATCCGAGTGCACACCACTAAGTGGAGCAATAGCTTGTACTCTTTGATGCAGTTCAGGATTATTTGCAGCCTTCTTTAACTCACTACTAATAATTTTTTCTGTTTTTTCTCTTGCGGCTGCTTCTACCAGCTTTTGCGATAGCACAGACAATTTTGCTAGCGCCGATGAAATTTCATCTATGGCTAATGCTTGACGAGCTCGATCCTATCCAAAATATAAACACAATGATCGTTAATAATATCTCATTAATATTAATTCTTCTTTTTATAATATATTCACCTGCCAATTCATTGCACGCTCAGTAAGACACTGTAAGGCTTCACCTTCCGGTAAACGAATTGGAATTTTCTGAAGACTAACCAACAGTGCCAAAATTGTTTCTAATCGCGGCCGCCGTGATCGTAAACAACAAGGACACAAAAATTTAAGTTCCTTCGACATGGGTAATTTACCTTTATACGATGTTTTCGGTAAGGGCACGCAATTCGCTGAAAAATATTGTTACAGTTAAACTGCTTTTAAATTTAATATAAAACTGCAAATATAAAAGAAATTTCACTTACAGTGGAACCAATCTTTACAAAGCTCACATTGAAGCATAAGACCATATCTCCGTCGCCAACAAACACAATACCTAGAGTCGTCCATTTCGGTTTTCATTAAATTTCTTTCTCTTAAATTTCTCATTGCTTCCATCTCTCGTTGTTCGGCTAACTTAAACGCAGCCACTACAGTGGCCGAATCATTGGAATCATCCAGTTTCGTATCACAGACGAAGACAGGTCCAATACTCTCTTCACTTTTACTCTTCTTAGTTTTCAACGCTTGTGTACCAACACCGATACGTGGTGACAAAGCTTCCATTAAAGTGCAATGCGAGTTTTTCCTTAGGAATGTTCTTGCTGTCCTTTCTTTCCAAGTTTTCGCTTGTGAAAGAGTAGACTCTAAAATTGGTAGAGCATTCAGGTGTAATGGAACGCTTCTACCCTTTTTAATTAACTCATCCAGTGTATCATAATAAGGAAAGTTCTCTCTCGCTTGTACTTCTTCCACAATTTTTGTCCAAGTCTTTGCTTTATTAAGTGTATCTTGAAGAACATCTAGGCTTGGTAAGTAAGCTTCTACTTCATCAGCCTCACGAATGAATTCCTCCAGAGACGGTATAGTTTGTCTACTTTTCGTATGAAGGTATAACTTTGCTTTCTCCTCCCACTTATCAATTGCATTCATCAATGTTTGTAACTCAGAAAGCGTCGTTTCTATACTTAAGTGTGGTGGTATTGTCATACCTTTTTCAATTAATTTTGCTAAATCGTCACGATGTATAGACTTTGGATCTTCTTGTACAGACTTCACTTCTTCTAGCCATTGTACTTGCGCTAATTTCTGTGACAAAAAGAAACAAAATTATGCTATGGAACAAAGTTGTATCATTGATTTAAATATATTAGACTTACTTGTTTCAATCGAATAAGTTGAGGTAACTCAATACAAATAGAATCCCCAAAATCAATACATTTCTCTAACTGCTCTATATCACAATCATCGTCCTTAGTTTCCAATTCTTCTGCCTCCTTTTGAAATTGTAATACTTGATCAAGTATAAATTTTACACCATCAGATTCCTTAAGTTCACAGCATAGATTTGTTATTTCTTTGTAAAAAAGTGTTAATTCCTCTACCGTGAGCTTATATTTAGTTTCAACAGATTGTCTTGTTCTGTGTGAAAAATATTTAGATAATTTTTCTTAGATAGTATATGTATTTTACATAGGGGAATGGCTTAGTTGTTGCTACAAAATAATCATACCTGGTACGTTGTTTATTATTCAGAAGTTGTTGTGCAACACTCGCACACTTTTCAGCATCCTGTACAGCAGTTGTTAAAGCTGTTAGTAATTCACTTTCTGGGAATTTTTTGTTTTCTGCTTCATTTAAGAGCTCCTTTAATTCACTCAGTTCAATTTTATCACTCTTCTTATCGGGATCCATTGCTTCCTTCACTTTTGTTACCCATGAGTCAAATGACTCGGCTTTCAATTTTAGCTTTTGTAACATAATTGGTAGTTCGTCTAAAGTATAACGGTAACGTAATGTATGCTTTTCTGGGGGACAATCACAAAGATCCTTGAAATGTCTTAGACAAACTAACTGTGAACTCTGGCAAGAACATGTAACCGCGCTCAAGAAACAAGTTGTCTTGCACGTTTCACACTGTCTCTCATCATCTGGTAAAAGTTCAAATGCTTCACGCTCTGCTTCAGTTACACCCTAAAAAAGAAAATTTTTAACAAAAAGATCATTTACGTTATCATTTAACATTCTCACATTTTATAGGAAGCATTAAAACAGGACGAAACTAGGAACAAAACACATGTAGCCATCTGTAGACAAACTAACTTCAAGATATAGTAAGATTTTACAAATACACTATTCATTTAGGATGATGGTTAATATTTTTCAATAAATTCGCGAGAAAAATAATAATATTCACTGAATCAACAGAAGAAACGTAGTGTCTGTTTAGCATCATGGTAAGGCTTTAAAAACATAACCTCTATTCACCAATAAAAGTTACATAATCAAGAGCAGAGACACACCAAATAGACATCAGCTAGTCAAGGTCGTTAACTAAAGAACGATCGCACAAAAACTATTTTAACGACAACGAACACAGGCTAACCAAATATAACGAAATATAAGGAGGCATTAATGAGGAATATAACGTGGATGGTGGAGCTCTACTGCAATGACCAATGGTTGGCAGTATCAGACTCACACACACGTCTTTTACCGCGTGTTCCCGCATGGTTACATATGTGTATGTTTGCCGACGTGTGCGTGCAACACTGTGTAAGTGTGAATCGGTGAGCACTGCTTCAGCACATACTATACTGTTTGACCTAAATACATTGGTCTGTGCATTTAGAAATACAACCCGTTTCATGTATTCGACTTGTTATGGTGGCAAGATTTAAATGAACGAAATGCTACACGTTTTCCGATAAAACAAATTAATATTTTTACGTATTTTAATTAAGAATAAAATATAATATAAAAAAATAAATTTTTATAAAATTCTCTTATTAAAATTATTAATGATTAATAATGATTTCTACTAAAATTATTGATCTTAGGTTATGAAATTAATAATATTAAGTCAGTTTATAAACGTTAATAACTTACCCACTCCAATAAGTTCTTTCTAAGTTTCTTCTCATCATCCACCATTTGAAGCATATCATGGTAAGTTGCAGTTGCAATTCCTATGTCCAAGGAATCTGGATCTAATGACATTTTGCATACCAGCTCATCATGAGAAAATACGCAAAATCGTCTTAAATTTGAGTAATGCGTTATACATTCTCTTCCAATCTTAAGCTATTAAACACATAATAAAATCTATAAAGCACGTATAATATTGAAATCGGTGATACGAATTTGAGATGATCATGTACCCAATCGGCAGGCGCGAAATTTACAGCTTCAGCGAAATTATACCCTTGATTAAAACCAGCATGATACGCTCTAGGAAATGTTACAACAAATTCACCCGCATGTTGATCAGTTCTAAACACTGGAACACCTATAATAGAGTACAAATTAAAAATAATATTAACAATAATTAGTATTTCTTGAAATTGTAAATATATTAAAACTTATTGTATATATCACCTTCATTAGTTAAAATATTAGGATTCATTATAGTAACCAATTGATGGAGCAAATCTGGCTGACTGTGAAATAGTTCTGGTGCAGCAGATTTCATTGATTGTTCAAATCTTTCTGCTTGAGAACCTGGCACACCATACCATGTTTTTGGTTCTCCCCAATGTAAATAATTAATTGAATAACTCCAGTGATCCTCATTGTGCCAACAAAATGTTGCAAAACACATAGCAACGTACATCCATGGTACTTTCATACCACTGATGTCAGCATTAATATGACCTAAGACACTCCCACGTAACACTGGCAAATTATTTAAATTCCATGGAGACTCAGCATATTCTTGATCGCATGTAAATAAATTAACGCTTGTTTTGGTTGGAAATCCAGATCCATGATCCATTGTGTGTAAATCTGCTCCATATTCAACTGTTACATCTTCATCAATTGAAGAAACTATTCTCCAAAATTCTTTTTCCACTAAAGATGTTGGCACCATCTACAGAGAAGTAAATTCATTTTTAACTTATATAATTTCATTAATTTTGAAAAATAATATAAAAGAACATAACCAGATAACATACATGTACAGGCATATTAAAGTAATCACTCTTAAACTGATCAGCCATCTCTCCAAATTGTTGTAGGGTATACTCTCTCTGTGCTTGTTCGAAACCAAATGCTTCCATTGGCTTAGAAACTTCCTCAGCAACGCACTTTGGGCACCGCCAATCTCCCTTTGGTATTTCTGTTAATGGTGGCATCAGACAGAATGTATGATAACTGTCATCGCATCCATCGCATAAAAGCATGTTCTCTTCGTTATCACCCCTTCCACAATTATGACAAATGTATTTTGCCAACTACATAAAAACATGTTTGGGTTTGAAGAAAGTATAAATGATTAATAGTAGGGCATAGTGTAATGTGTACTTACAGGGTCAAATTCATAGACAAGTTTAACTCCCCTAGTTTTATTTGATTTCTTTCCTTCTTTGGTATTAAACCCAGCCATTTTTGGACCAGGTCCATAAAACTGTAATTTCTTAAGTTCTTTACTATTGTCATCGCCATTTGCACTTCTGAGCCCATCTTTACAATCATTATCTGAATCATATTCCTCCTTGCAATCTTCTTGTTTAATACATATTTCTGGTTTTTCTTCTTGACCACCAAATCTCTTAGATCGACGCGAGAATTTTTCAGTTGGAGGTTTAATTTGTTGTCGTGATATAATTCCATGTGGTTTATAATCACGATCTTTCTTTTCATTTATATTGGAGTCTGGTTCAATTTTCTGTGCAATTGTGAACATATATTAAACACTTGTTGTTTATAACAATCACAACAATACCAGAAAAAATAACTTACAATATCTGTTAAAGTTTTTCCTTGTTTAAAGACGTCAAATGGATATAAAATTCTTTCATAATGATTCTTTAATATACTTCCTACACTGCGACCAGATGGGTAACCTAATTTATTTGCAATCTTTGCCCACCTCCTTTCTCTTGTTACTGTTTCAATCCCACCTACAAACAATATAGATAGACTTAGTTTATTACATTAACCAAATCTTAACCATTGATCTGTGCAAACAGAAACAAACCTTCATCCGTAACTATCTTGTGTAAAGAATACAAATCAAGAGCTTTACGTTCAACAAGAGGAATTTTCAAAGAAGAGCCTTGAAGTTCCCAAAATTTTGCAATTTGATCTAAGAAATTAAGTTTTATTCTAGTTTTCGCTTCCAATTCATTTAACCTTTGTATCCTTGGAACAAATTTGAATTTATCTACATCAACAGCAAATGGTGGCTGCCAATTCTGTAAACAAGTAATAAATTTATAACAGCTCATATGTATTACTAACTTGATTTTTTTAATAAAATAACGTGAATAATTTCATGTAAATCAACTTATTACGATATTTAACATTTAAATGATGTAACAAAAAATGTCATTTATCGTTGTTTAAGTTTAAAAAATATTCGTAGCCACATTCATATTCATATTCAAAAATACGATACATTTACTTCGAAAATCGTATTACGTTGTATACTATCACTTTTTAATTACTATATTTACACGATAATATTTATGAGATTTCAGATCACTCAATTAGCCAAATAAAGTAACAAAATATATGTATAATAAATATGTAACAATAAAAAATTAAAAA